TTGGACTATGTGCCTGCATCTGAATGTGTTTAATGCCGGTGAGCAGAAATCATGATTTTCTGAAAACACGTCCAACCCTCTTTGGTGGATCATTGTGGCCAAATGGCCCCTGCATCTGAGGATCATATCGGCCACCAGGTGGTTCTGTATAAATACAATTTGGCCGGTCCACCTCAGGCTTGGGTATGTCCATAATCTGCCTTGGTATGTCCATAATTTGGGCATTCCTGTAGTTGGTTATAACTTATAACCTCAATTCGGTGTATAAATAATTTGCACCAGTCATTTCCCGGGCATAGATGCAAGTTGGGTGCTGGGACTGGGTATAGTGGGTATTCCCATCTTTAAATGGGGTACACATCTAGGCTACCAGAGTGGCCCGGGCCCACTTGCCTGGCCGGGCCACAAAAAAAAAAAAAAAAAAAAAAAGCAAAAAATAAAAAAAAAAAAAGAGGAAAAATTTGGTCAGTTTATTTTTCTGCTTAACATAGTTTTTTTTTGGGGTTTTTTTTTTTTTTTTTGCAAGGACCTTCCCTGGCCCTGGTTCGCCTGGGTCGCCCGGGATGCCCGAAATCAAGGTAACCTGGGTGGCCCGATTCGTAGCCCAGGTACAGACGCAATTTTTCCAAAGAATAAAAGAAAAAGAAGAATTACACAAGTTGAATCAATGTTATCCCCCTCACTTCTTCCTTCTCTCATCTTCTTCACCCTTACAACTACTACTCTTATATTCAATTAAATACCGCAACAAATGAATGAATGAACAGGAATCATGTCTGAGTATTCCCCTTTATTGCCGGCACTAAAGGAGTACTCCTTTCAGCCATAGCGTCACTTCTTTGTCTCGGTTGAAACTAATGGCACGGCGGAACATCCATGCTCATTGAAGATGTTCAAAGGACAATGCAATCTCTACAATGTGTCTCCCATTTCATTCTGCCATAGCCACACTCTCGGATGAAGTCCAAGAGCAACTGGTACCGACATAGGGGCCTTCTAGGTGCAGTCCCGACCAAGGAAGTGAAGGTGAAGGTCAACCATAGCCAAAGGTGAGTCTCTCATGAGGGTTCTCTCCTCCCCTCTCCATCCTTCTCTCACCCTTCTCCATAGCCTGGCATGGGGCGCTTCACCCTCTAACTCCATAGCCAAGGCCTACTCCCTCCTACCTCTACTCCTCCATAGCCAGGGCAGTCTTCTTCGACACCCTCCTGCTCCACCACTCAGCAGGAGCTCTGCTGACCTTCACCGTCTGGGATGAGGACCAGCATGATTGCCGGGTAAGATACCCCTTTGCTCAATTATGCCCTAATGATGTACTCCTGCAGCCCGGCCCTACAGCTTCACTTAGGCTGCGGTGCCACTGCCTCTCCGAGGTACTAGGCCTACCGGGAGCTCCCACCTCTTGGCGGGAACACCATTGCAGCCTGCAAGCCTACTTCAGGGCTTGAGTCTAATCTACCTGATATCTAGGTTCAGGCCCTGACTACTCGTGACCTTTTGGAAGCTACTAGGTCCTTCTAGGCGTACTGGACTTCTGTCGGGCCTACCCGAGTTGCTGGAAAATCCCTGCCAGTTACAACCCAAATTCTACTTGTGCCCGTCCTGGCCTTTCTCGAAGTCCATGCCGTCCCAACTTTCAGTCTTGCCCTTGTGGTTTCCTTATTTCTAATCTACCTCTCCGGGGACACAGAAAACAAAGGGCAAGCACACAGTTAGCACTCCGAGTAACAATCACCACACAGGGACTTACACACATGCAAGCAAACAGCAAGCTCACACAGGACACAGAAATCTCAGCAAATCAGACCAGCAAGCAGCAATACTTGGAAAACAGCATGGATCTCAGCCTGATCCTGTGCAGATCATTTCATCTATATTTTATTTAGTTGAAATTCATTCCATGTTCAGGATGTTGTGAATGACTATTTGGACTAATTTAGCACATATTTTTATTTAAATTCATTCCATGTTCGTGATGTAGTGAACGACCAGCATAAATTCCCTCACCTTATCCACAAAGTAGTCCCAACAGTTGTCTCTGGTGTCTACAATTCCAGCTTGCTTCACTTCGTTGCGGATGGAATTGCATACCAACTCCTTGTCATCTGGCTTGTACAAATCATCAATATATCCACTGGCGAGAAAGTCATTCAGGTAAACCAAAAATGTCTCATTGACGATCTGTCCATCATTGAGGAGCAGCGTCATCGCAATAGACTTCAAACCGGCCCGGTTGTAAAGTTGGAGTAGATCTAGCTCAAAGTCGAGGACGCCATACGTTGATGTCACTGTGATCTGAAAGACCTCATAATTGCAAATATAAGATGCCAAACGAGCCAGGCTCTGCTTTCCACTTCCACCCACTCCCACTAACAACACATTGCCACGTGGCAGATTCAAAACACGCACGATGCGGCACACGTGCTCCATCGCCATGTCGAAGAGAACAAGATCCATGGCAACATGATCACCATTGTATTCTGCCAGTTTCTCCTCAAGCGCCACCCTCAACTTCCCATAGTCCTCAACGTCAATGTACACTGGCACTGCATCAGAGTTCTGGACCATAAATGAATTGAAGATCAACGGTTTTGCTTCCACTGCCGCTGCATCCGCCTGAATATCACAACATGCAAGGTAAGAGTTAAGATTCACGACTGCAGTGGGATTGGGCCCTGAAGTACCAAGGTGGGTTAGTAAGATGTTAGGTGAAAGTCAAGGAAAGAGTAAGGTCCCCCCAATGAGGCTACACACTGGCAGTAACCAACATCCATAAGGGAGCACGAGTTAGGGGGAGTGATGGAGCACACCACTCGTTTGCTGTCCTCCATTTTTTCATTCAGTGAACTGAACATTAACACAGTGCAACGTGTGCTGAGAGGTGTGTTGGCAACTTTCCATATGGACCTAGCCCAACACCCCAACCCCCCAACCCCCTGCAGATGAAGCCATGGAAATACAGGTATGATTTCCTGACTGGTTACTGCACTCTTAGCTGATCAGTTTGGCCTTGGATTCATACACAATGCTGCATACAATAGAACCACTGATCCCTGGCATGATAACTAACATGTCTTTGCCATTCCAACCTTGCCATGGTTTTCCCCACCCCACCCCTGGATGGTTGCCACCAAAAGTTCACAACATCTCTTGAGCCACTCTAGTAGTCAAGAGCACAACTTTCTGCTCAGCCTAAGGCCGATTGTCCAACCCCCTGTGCATGCAGTCACCAAAATCCACATATGACTCTTCTACCTGGCTGCTGCGCTGGTAAGTGATTGGACTGAATGTGGTCCCGGTGGGTCTAGCCATCAATTCGGCGAACCTTTTGCATTTATTTACATCTGCAAGAAACCCTAACTGCTATATGAGAGCCACACAACTATGGGACGTTGCATGAATATGGTGCAATTTAAGACCAATGGCACTGCAAAACATGGATACTCTTGCAGCATTTATCAGCTGTGAGTCACACACAACATAGTAGGCACACACACAGTGTTCGAGCAGTGCAGAGCATGGTGCTTGAGCAGAGCAATGTGACATCACCCACTTTCTCTCTCTGTCTCTCCCTACACCCCCCACTACCCTCCCTTTGTGTGTGTGTGTGGGTGTCTTCTGTCTCTCTCTCTCTCTTTCACACACACACACACACACACACACACACACACACATGGAGGGCTCGAATGGTGTCCACCACGCTCTCTCTCCATCCGATGAACTCATACCCTCATAGAACGGGACAATGCCTCACCATGGGCAAAGAAAAAGGAAGCAAGGAAATTTGGCTGCCAAACACCTGCAGAAGGAGTGAAGCACAAAACCAGAACGTTTTCCTCTCTCATAAAATCGCTTTGAAGCTTTGAGCAGAGAAGAAGAAATGACTGAGTACTATGCACAACAATATTGCAAGATCAAAAGAAACCAGACAAGGGGGCAGAGGGCAGAAGGAGGGGAGCCTCATCAGGGGAAAGGGAAGGATGGAGAGAGGACAGATACAAGATGCCTGAGCTGCCAGAGACATACAACAAGAAGAAGAGCAAAGAGGATGGGAAGAAAGGACAGTCCAAGGGAGAGAAAGGAAAAGAAGAGTGAGCAAGGGAAGGTCAGGAAGGACCAAGAGGAGGAAGGTCAAAAGGACAACAGACTGGGAGAACAACAAAAAGAGGCAAAGGGATGAGCGACAAAATCTACTGGTACAGATTCAAGTACTCGATGCCCAAGTGCAGAGACTGTCAGACTTAAATGACAACACTCAATCAGATTTTTGAAACAGGACCTTGGTGACAAGCAAGCCCGTCTTGTCATCAAGGACAATACTGGCCATAAGGTGGGAAGAGCTGTTCGAGGAATGGCAAATTGCCACAGCCCCAAATTTCGCCCTGCCCAGAGTGGAGAGAGGCCAAAGCATAGAGGAGAGGTTGGATACATTGGTCTCAAAAGAGAAACCAAGCAAGATGGGATTGATGGGAGAAACACTGAGAGTGCCAGAAATGGGGGAAAAGGGACAAAAGACAAGGAGGAAACGATGGACGTAAGACCAGTAGTGGCTCTTTACAGCAAGGAGGCAACATTGAAATGTAACCTGCAATGAAGACCATGGTGCAATCAGACTCGGCTTATTCACACTTCGACATGCATGCAAACAGCGAAACAGTAAACTGGTGACATGCGCCCACACAGTATTCGAAGATATCGTAACCAAATAAGAGTTCTCTTCCTACTGGCTATGGCGACTGTGCGCCCACACAATTCACTGTTCGCACTCTGGATCACCCTGGATGTCCCACATGCAACACTCTGCACTTACACGCGACACACACACACACTCACTACTAACTACAGCTATGGCAGCTGTCGCTGCATCTAACCTATCGCTATTCTAACTCCCCCTCTCTAGCCCACTGCGTCCTCCGGGCTCATCTGCAGACCTCCTTGCACAAGTCGCTGTGGCAGCGCTTCTGCATGGCTCACGCAGGAATGAATGAATGGCTGGGCGCTGCCTCTTGATTTATACTTCAGAAACTCGTTGGTCTGCCCTTTGCCATCGGCCCTTGATGCTCACAGTCCCCCTGTGGTACTTGCTGGACCGGACTGGGACTGACTGGACCCTCTGCTGACTGACTGTGGACTCACCGCTATCCTACCGACGTTGTACTGCTGTTGCACTGCGGCGTAGTCCACCACTTGCCTCACCACTTGACCACTTGCCCACTTGCCTACCTTCTAGAAGGTCTACAGCTAAGCTTCCGGAACTCACTAAGACTCCTACGCTATAGACCTACAGATCGAACCCCTGCTGTYTATGGACCTACGACAGGCCTACCAACTGCCTACGAATACACAGGTCACAGGTTCAATTCTCGGGGTCTACACAGATACTGTACATGGATAGGGTGAGGTCTAGGGATCGAACCCTGGGTACAGCATCCGCCACTGCTAAAAGGTGAAAACCATTTCATTCCAGCCGGCCTAAATTCGAGGTCCTCCGAGAAAAATTCAGTCCAAGGCAGGACCTTTGCCCCTTTGCTGTCTCTCGTAGGCCCGGACTATATCGGGAGCTGTCTCTAGAAGTTCGGATCTGGTAAACCAGCGGTCGTCTTCAGGTTCCTGATAACTAAAACGAACCTTGTACTGTTTCTGCGGACGACCTCTACCTCCAGTTCTGAAGACGTCTTCAGCCACTATACCATCTATGTCGTATCTTCCATCCATATCCGGTGGGATCATCGATTTACGGGATGGAAACTGATCACTTGTTTGACAAGGTAGCAACTTCGATGCGTGGAAAACTGGGTACGTATGGAGGTGTGCTGGTAACTCGATGGTGTAGGACGGTCCATCTTCGCCGCCCTTGACTTTCAGAACAGGCCATGGCCCTCTATATGTGGGCAGTAACTTCTGCGAGATGTTCTCCTCAGGTGCAAACTCCTTAGAACTAACCCAGACTAAGTCGCCTACTTGAAACTGTGAAGGGCGACGATGTTTGTTCGCTTGTTCTATCATCCTATGCTGGGATTTCCTGAGGTTTTCTACAACAGTAGTTAGTTCTTTCTCGTGCTGTACAGCAAACTCCCTGGTCCCGGGCGGTAATCTCTGAATCTGATCCCGGTTGAGTCCTTCGAACGGTCTGCGCGGTTGAAAGGACTTGTGCAGTTCGTTGGGAGTGCGGCAGGTGGACAAATGCACACTGTTGTTATACGCACTAGCTACTTTAGGTAACATCTCGTCCCAGTTAATCTGATCTGGCCTAATGTACATGCGCAGAACTTGCTGTAGGATCTTGTTCATTTGCTCTGTCTGACCGTTAGTCTCTGGATGACGGTCGGACGACATCAACAACTTAGATCCGTATACTCCCATGAGTTCTTGCCAGTTCTGGCTAGTAAAGCGACTATCTCTATCGCTAACTATAGACAGTGGGATTCCATTTTCACTAACCCAACAGTCAAAGAGTCTATGTATGACTAAATCAGTACGTGCCTCTGAAGGCAAAGGAACAAAAACTGCATACTTACTGAAACGGTCAACTATGACCATGACTTGGCTCTTGCCATGCCTACTCTTGACTTGGGTGTCCATGAAGTCTATGGACACTGAGTCTCCCGGTTGGTCCGGAATGGGTAAGGGTCTGAGAAGATCTAACGGGGCGCGCGCACGGGTCTTATTACGCTGGCAAACTTTGCAACTGCGGACATACTTTACGCAGTCATTCTTCATTCCTGGCCAGGTGTATGCGCGCATCAGGTTGGCTAAAGTATTTTGCCAACCAAAATGACCCTCGATGTCATGGCATTCTCCCAAAATCAGACTACGAATCTCTTCGCTATTGGGGATGCACAAGCGGTCAAATACATTAGTCTTCTCAAAAAGCAACCCTTCAGTAGTGCGGTAGTTCGGCTCAGTCTCTGGGGCCTCCTTGACCTTCTCAAGGAGCTCACTATAGATAGGGTCCTGCGCATAGGCTTCTCTAACCTTCTGCTGCAGATCCTTCCCTATATCGAGGTAGTGCACTATTGCCCCAAAGTAATCTGCCCTCCTACTCAGAGCATCCGCGACTACGTTGTACTTCCCTTTGAAAGGCTTGAGCTCGAAGTCGTATTGATCTATTTCTGCGGCCCACCTGGTAAGCTTAGGTGTCATCTTGGCCTGCGTCTTTAACCATCTCAGTGTCTCATGATCGGAATAGACTTTGAAGTGCCTCCCAAGCAAGTAGTGCTTCCAGTGGTCTAAGGCTTGCCTGAGAGCGTAGAGTTCCCTCTCATAGGTAGATGTCGCGACCTTCTCTGAAGGCATCCTGGCGGACATGAATTCTACAGGTCTATACCCATTGCCATCGTCTTGCTGCAACACTGCACCTATGCCGTATTGGCTCGCATCGGTCGTGACGACAAAGGGCAAGGACGGGTCGGCGACTTTAAGGACTGTATACTCTATCAATAACTGCTTTAACTTCTTCATGGCAGACGTGCAGTCCTTATCCCACTTCCAGATGGTCTCCTTTCTCAACAATCTGCGAAGGGGCGCAGCGATGGTAGTGAAGTTCCTCACGAACTTCCTATAGTAATTAGCTAGGCCCAGGAACGAGCGTAACTCTGTCATCGTACGTGGCATGGGCCAATCTCTAATCGCTGCGATCTTGCTATCCTCTGGCTTAACGCCGTCTCCGTCTAAGACTTGGCCTAGGTACAGAACTTGGGTCTTTGCCCAATCGCACTTCTTTGCGTTGATCTTGAAGTTAGCTTCCCTCAGCTTCTCCAAGACCTGCCTGAGATGACCCTGATGCTCTTCGAGGGTCCTGCTAAACACTAGAATGTCATCTAGATAAACTACAAGAAATCTACATAACCACGGCCTAAACAAATCGTTCATACAGCGTTGGAACGTAGCTGGCGCATTGGTTAGTCCAAAGGGCATCACTATGAACTTGTAGTGCCCATATCTAGTCCGGAAGGCCGTCTTGTACTGATCATCAGGATGCACCTCTATCTGATGATATCCGGACTTCAAATCTATCTTGGAGAAATACTTCGCCCCCTGCACTCGATCTTAGAGATCGTCTATTCTAGGCAGTGGCTCAGCATTCTTCACTGTAATGGCATTCAAACCCCTATAGTCTATACACATCCTCAACTCTCCCTCTTTCTTAGGGACAAAGAGAACAGGGGCTCCAAAAGGAGACGAACTGGGCCTAATCCAACCCTTTTTGAGGAGCTCATCCAACTGCTTCCGTAGCTCCTCTAACTCCCGCGGGGACATCCTATATACAGCACCCTTAGGAGTTCTACTGTGAGGTTCTATCTCAATACGGTGCTGGATGGGTCGCGGCACCGTGCCTGTCGGCGGCTCAGTTAAATCCTTAAACTCTTCCAGCAATTTGGCAATAGCAGGGTCTCCAGGCTTCTCTTCCTTAGGCTCAGTGAGTGGCCTAACATAGGCAACAAAGACCTGTTCCTCTAATTTCTCCTTCTTCACCAATCTGGCGAACGCAAGGGCACTAAGGCTGCAATGCGCCAAGGAATTCTCTACCCTGGACACATGGAACAGGCGGGCAGTCTTAGCCTCGCCTGACGAACTAGGGAGCCTACACTCGTGCTCTTTCAGATGGAGCGTGTCCCCGACTGCCTCTCCCCAATCCATTCCCAGGACAATATCAAATGGGAGGCTGTCTTCTACGAGGAGAGTCAGGGAGTGGAGGACCTTCTCCACTTTCCCATCCTTCTCTAGGCGAAAATATGCCTGGACTCCCTCTACATACTCCTCTACAACCATTGTACGATTGTCTGCGAGGATACTAACTATAGGGTCTGCTAACTTTTGGACTTTAAGTACCAGCTTCAACTTCTGCAGCGCTTTCTTACTAATATAGCTGCGGGTAGCCCCTGAGTCTACTAGGGCCCCTACTCTACCTCTAAAAATCTCTGCGTCTAATAAGATTAGCTGCCCTTTATTCTCCTTCTTCATCTTGGCCCAGGCGGGCCTCCTCTCCTTCAACTCTTCGGCCACGCCTGTGAGGGAGGTATCTAGAGAGACTCTAACACAAGCAGTCTCTGGGCAGCTATCTAGACACCGGCCTGCAACCTCTGCCATAGGCACATGTGGTGTGGGAGTCTCCTGCCGGCTAGCGCTATGTTCCCCACATGGCCTAGTGGTAGGGGCAGTTGCTACCCCTACCGGCGGCTGCCTTCTGGCCCTTGGGCAGCCGTGCGGGTCTCTCGATACTTAGGACAGTATTTGATGATGTGGCCCAGGTCACCGCAGAAAATGCACTGGCCCCGGTCCAATCGTTGTTGCCATAAAGTCTGGTCCAGACCCAAAGATTCCCAAGGCCTGCCCTGCGGCAGCCCTGGGTGCCATCCTCCTACTCTATAGGGAGACCTATTCCTAGGACGGTTTTGCGGGGGACCTTGACCCCCGCCTCCCACTTGGCGGTTTCCCCCTCTACCGCCAACCCCCTGATCGCCCTGGAACCGGCTCCCTCAGGCCCGGCCCCCTTGGCCCTGGCCTCGTCCTCCTTGCGGCCTCCCTCCAGCCGTGACAGCAGCGTAAGTCCTCCCCTGGCCCACACCGCTGTCATCCTCCTCTAACCCCCACTCAATCTGATCGTAGGGGATCTCATCCACACTACCCTCGTCTAGAGTTAGGACAAGGCTATCCTTAGTCTTCACTTGCCCAGAGATAGTGCGGGCTTTCCACTGCTTTCCCTTGTTCAAGTCTCTGTGCCAGAAGGTAGACACAGACGCAGACTTGGCTTCAAAGGCCACCACTTCCCGACTAAGAGAATCATAAGTAGTGGCCGGATCTTCGCTTTTCGCGAAGAAGTGCCCTCGCAAGGCTTCGGGGATCGCCCGGTAGAAGAGGCCGACCAATTGGGTGTCTGTGACCCCATGGTCAGGAACGGCGATTAGTTCGTCCATCGTGCTCTTGAGTGCCCTGACACTCTTCCACTTACGAGCGTGGATTGTCTGGAGCCTATCTGAGGCCTTGACACTTCGAGCGACATCTGCAAATCGCTCGCGCAGCAATCTCATAAACTCAGTGAGGGAGGTAAAGGACGAATAAGCAACTAGATCGTCATTGCAGTTAGCGGCACGCACTAGGGACCTTGCAAAACTGGCGACCTCATCTTTAAGCGCGTGGATCGCGATCAGGACATGCTGATCTGGGGAGACCTGTTACAGATGCACATAGGTCTTAACGTTGGCTTCCCAATTGTCAAAGTTCTCTTCCCTTTTCCCGCTATCGGAATCAGGGAATTTGACCTTGACTGACTCTCTACGCGGCGGGCGTGGTTCCTCCTCCTTGGGAGATGCCGCCTTGACGCCTTCAATGGCGCCGACGCAGAAACGCTCTGTCTTCTCGAGGCGATGATTCACCTCGGCTCGTACGGCTCCTATCAGTTCGCGCGCAAAGTCCCGGAATCCCATTCGCATCGAGCGCACAACTATGTCCTGGCTTCGGCTAAATTCGTACTGCTGCTCTTGTATCTTTGCTAACCGCTCAACGCTCTGGGCAAGGATCTCTACCGTTCGTTCGAGGTCTACCTGAGGGGTCAGCTTTAGACTTAGTTTCTGCACTTCTTCTAATTCCTTGACCGCCTCACTCGCCGCCTCCACCCTTCTCTTCTTTTCTCTCATCATCGCGAGCTTCCACTCCATCCGCTGCTCATCCTCCATCGCCTGCCGCTTCAGCACATCCTTTTCTGCTTCCCATTTCTTCAGGGCGGGTTCCTGGTCATCCTTGGGGATATACATAGCCACTTCTTCTTCCTCCCCCAAGGACAAATTAGCGACCCACTCTGAGATCCGTTTCTCCATCTCTTCACCCTTGCTGCCACTGTGCTGACCTCTCCTTCTTTCCAGTGGCGGTCCCTCGTCTTCTTCCTCTTCCACCTCTTTCAACTTCTCCTCTTCCTCTTTCTTGATTCTCTCCTTCTCTCTGGCCATTTCTTCCTCTAGCTTCTTCAGCTTGGCCGCCTGCTCCTCCTGCAGGGCTTTCTTCTTGGCCTCCCTCTTCTCTTTTCTCTCTTGCAGGATGGCGACCATCTTCGCCTCCTCCTCCTTTGTGTACGGTATAGTGGAGGTGCCGCGCCGGGTGTCTACCATGGTGGTGTCAGGTGCAGGACAAGGGTCCCACTCCTCACCACTTGGACCTACCCGGACACACTGACCTACTGACTGACTCCCTAAGGACCACAGGGTAAGACCTTGTCAACTATGGTCACTACCAACCCGACTACTCTAAGGCTGTCACTACTGAACCAAGAGCTGATCAGGAGGCATTTAAGGAGATCCCCCGTAACTCAAGAATTTTTTAACGTCGCAGACAGAACGACGTGATCAGCTTGGTTCCTCTGGCGATTTCAGCCCACAACTCAGCCGTTCCAGCCTACTGTGCCACACCGAGCAGCCCGCCGGTCTGTACCGGTCCTTGGAGGGGTTCGTATCCCTCGGGACAGTCGAGTCGTCAGACACAGATCATCAGCTGTAGTAGGTCCGGTAGGGGAGTGGCTCAACCAGGCCTCAACACTTAAAGACGGCCCTCGTTTCAGCCTACAGCTCGGAG